GAGAAGGCTCCTCACGAATGAAAATTTAAAAGAGTGGTTTTGTAAAGATTTATCAAACTTAAGTAAATACTATAATTAAAAATGCAGAAGGTCAAGAAAGAAAATAAATAATCGTCATTGATTGATTGATAGGGATTAGTTATATAGAATATAAAGAAAAGTTAATACTAAAGGATGAGGAAATTATATTTTTATCAGCCCTCTTTGTAGAATTTTTTATTATAACCCAAGAGTAAGGATTTACCATAAAAATGACTTGCTTAATGATCATCAATATCTCCATACCTTTTTATTATGTATATAGATGTTTTTGTAAAAATTTTCCAATAGTCCATATAATATGAAATTACATTTCAGAATATGCTTACAATTTAACTGTCTGCAAGGACTTTATTTAAACTCAAAAATTATCTTTCTAAATTCATTAGATTGATGAAACACCTTCTTCTATGCAGAAAGTATTGTTTGATAACAAACATTTCACAAGATATAAATTTTAATAACACTAATAAAATATAACTAATACAAATATAAATTTTTTCGAAAGCTTATATAATAAAAATTAAATTATCATTATTATTGAAAGTTATAGATTTCTGAAAATATAAAATTTTTGCTTTATATGTATTGTTCTAATATTTTAATTAATATTATGATTAATTTATTTGAATAGAAATTGTAATTGATTTTGCTAATCATATCTACTAATTTTTGCATAAAACTACTTAAAGCAAAATTGGTTTTAAGATTCTTAGTCGTTGGTTGCTAAATAAAGTCAAAATTAAATATGTTGAAAATAATTCTTATCCAATTTAATCGATAGGGACACATTATAAGTATAATAAAATAATATCTACAATCGAAAATATTATTTCAAAATCAAAACAAATTTTTAAGCATTTATTTATCATAAAATTTCAGTTTACTAATATTTGCAATTTTCTCAAAAGTAGCGTCCTAGGTTAACAAATTTTAAGGTGTAACTTGTTATTAAGTGAAGCTTAGAGCATGATTCCTGTCTTGATTATATTGTTGGATGCTGAATTTTCTATCATGGGATAGTCTTTTATATTCTATCGAAGATCTTCCTGTTATAGAAGTGATTCTCCTTCTATTTTTGATAGAAGCATCTTAGTGTTGTGGCATTAACTATTATTGTTATGACATTTATTGTTTAGAATATGGATTTTTGAGAACTATCACAACTGGTTTGCTAGATTGAGTAGCAATTTAATTTTAAAACATGGAATTTCTAAATATATTCTATCTTTACTTATTAGAAACTCTAACATGATAAACTTGCATCTTGCCTAAAATTTGCTATAAGGAGATGTCAGTTTGCTAAAATGAGTTTGTAAAACCTTCTTATAATGGAACATCTTGATAATTAGAAACAATTTCTTGAATACTTTAGAATCCAAGTGTTTCTGTGTTGGGTTTTCTAATAGATTTAACTTATTCTTCAATCTTTTATAATACTTTTTCATCCAACATAAGATTTTAATAATGCTGTATATCAGTTTATGACGCCTTTTCAATTCTATTAAGCTTTTTTTTAGTCTATATTATTATTTTATTTTGTTTCTAAGAATTAAAAAATGATTGAAGTTCTTATTCTTAAAGTGCATCCTCTTCAGGATTTGAATCACTACCTGAATCATCTTCGCCTATCTAAAGTTAGCTTAGATCACATTCTTTTATTAATTTATCTAATTCATCATTCTATTATAAAGTTAAGGTTCTTGGTAATTTACTGGATTTTACCATTTAAGATTCAAATAACTTAAATATTGATAATGAAACATCTTCACCCAATTACTTATAAGAGCTTTCAGTAAAATCTTAGAATGCTTATTATCGAAAAGCATGAAATGAGATTTCTAATGTGTAGGTAAAACCATTTTTGACTTCTGATTGTAATGCTACTCTAGCAGTCTTCTTTTTACTTTCATGTACACTGAAAGAGCAATCTCGTAAATTCATCATTTTAGACAGATTACAACTTATCAATGGTAGCAATTTTTATTCATCACATAAACTATTAGCATAATAAAAACTATTGAATCTAAAATGCCAAGAAAAAATTTACTTTTTTGAATGTCCATGAAAGTCAATTATTAAATTCAATTCAGTTATTTAATTTATTTATCTAATTAATTCTCTTACGTGCCAAACGGAATCGTGCAATTCTTTATGAGGGCAAATCCAAATCCTATTGAGATCAGCCCCGTAAAGATTGCAACGATAGTTTCCAAAAATAACCCCGTCTGGATTTATCATAGGAATTATATAAAATGTGAAGTGACTTCTTAAAACTTCTGCTTCCATGCAACTGCTGATTAAAAATTCAATCGCTCCTTCTATTGTAAATGAGCCTGGAGTTTCTCCTGGATGCTATCTTGCCATCAATAATATGGCTTTTTTACCATTACCAATAATAATTAAGGGGCAAGATAATTTTGAGATTGTCTTACATAATTCTTTTACTTCGGCAAACTAAGGATATTGTTATTTTTACTTTATTTGGTCGAATCGATCTTTCTATAAAATTATTTAATTATGAGTAAGTATAAGGGTAACATTATGCAAAAAAAACTTTATCATTGGAATATTCAAATTTATAACTAAAAGAAAGTGTATAATAAGTTTTAAGAGTGCTATTTTCTCGCTTAAATTTATTTCGAAAATAAATTATATTATGTCCTGCTTTAATCCATCCGGTTCCTTTTTATCTATTGCATTTGTTAGAAAAAACAACTGGCCTTTATCCCATATTAAATAATGAATCACATTTTATCTACAAGGCTTGATAAAAATATATATGTTACAAAGTTTATGATATTAAAAGTAACTACACTGTTTTTCAAGGTGTTTTCAACCGAAAAGTAAAACCATTAGGTATTTCCTTTCGAATTAGTGTCATTTTACATCATCAAATCATATTCATTAGGCCCAACTCTATAAGATGTAAATAGGTTTCCGCTTTCAAAATTGGAATCGAATTTCAGTCCATTATATTTCTTGTTGTCTTATTCAAGCGCGAGTTATTTTTATTCTTTTTATTTCATTGTAGAAGGATATAAATTTTTGTTTAAGACAATCGTAAATTCTGTTAATCTTAATTCTCTATTCAAAGCCAATAATTTTTTGCAATCAAAGAAACAGGATGCAGCAAATCGATGATTATTCAGTGGGATCATAGACCATGGGTAATTATCGAAACGTTGATAGATCAAGTTGACTTTATTATCACTAAAGTAATCCCACATATTGAAGGCTGAATCTCTTTCATCATATGCATCTTTCTTTTTCATCTATCCACTTATTCATTTACATTTATACATTTTTTATTTAATTTCAGGATCGGCCGCTTAAACCAAGGGATTTGGTGCTGGGAGTAAACCATAAAATTACATAACTATATATATAATAAAATAATAAATTCATATATAAAATAACACACCCCTTGTTATAACTTCTTAGAATGAGATACTTTAAGATAAATTAAGAACAACAATATACACGATTTCCTAATACTATCTTTATTCATAACATTGATCCAAAAATTAAGGAGACTTGTATTGTTAAAGAAAAATATTCATAATCTAAATTATTTTTAAACCTCTCCATTTAAGAACGATTAGATATATAAACTTAATCCTGCAAATTTTGCATTTATATTTAGCTTCCTCTACTAAATACTCTTTTATCTCATGAATTCTGCATTAATTTTGTAATGAGATGTTGATTCAAACCAAAATATTATTCTAAAAGGAATAATTTATAATGATTGAAATAGACATGAAGTATTTTCAATAATTTTTATTATAGGGTTATTCCCTTTTAACACAACCTAAAGCCACTAGAACCTTTTGCATAAAAGATTCATTTCCAATTGATTATTAAGTTTATGATCTAAATTGTTTCCTTTATAGATCAGAGTTTCTACTGATTCTCTAATCATTCATTTCAATTGATATATCATTCTAAGTTTCATGTGATGTAATTTGATGTCTGATGAGTGATTTTTGTGATGATGCAGTTGATTTATTAAGATATTAAGGTTATGAATGGATTGAATAAGCATTTTGAGTTTTTGTTCTTCCATTCTTAATTTCGTTTATATGATTTTATGAATGCAGTTTAATCCATTTGTGATTTAAAATTAATGATAAACTGAGTCTGTCCTATTATTTATATGTGATTAAACTTTATATTAAGTCCTTAGCTTCTCTTGACAATGACCCATCAATTTGATAATGTGCTTTGACTATATTCTAGCACTTTTCAATATCATTCTTACCATCAAAAGGTGCATATCCATGTAATAATTCATATAATAATACACCTAAACACCAAACGTCGAGAGTGTAATCGTGAGGTTTATCTTCTATCATCTCAGGGGCCATGTAATCAATTGTACCACAAAAAGTATTTCTTTTAACTGATCCTAGATTTTCAGCTGACCAACCAAAATCACATATTTTTACGTTGTCTTGGAGATCCAACAATATATTTTCAGGCTATTCTTATGATGATACCAAATACTTTTAAATCTCTATGTATTATTTCTTATTGATGTAAATATTAAATTCCTAAACATGTTTACTTAAAAAATTTCACTGCTTCATCCTCGTTAAGTTTTCCCCTTCTTCTCAAATATTAAAATAAAGATCCATGTTCTGCATATTCTAATATCAAATAAACACGATCCTTATCTTCAAAATAATGATAAAGTTAAGTAATGTTGGGATGATATAATTTGCGTTGAATTCTTATCTCTCGTTTTAGGTTTTCAATAGAACAATACTCAAATATATCTTTCTTATTTATCTTATATTTTAATTTTATATGTACAATCTTCATAGCATACAATTATTCATTGGTTTTATCCTTAACCAATTTAACTGCTCCAAAGCTACCCTTTCCTAATTATGGATAATCATATATTAACTCAAATTCCTCTGGTGTTCTCTTCATTTGCCTTAAGGTCGAAACCTTATCACTATTTGAAATCTCTTAAGAATTTATCATTTTCTCAGGTAAGCATGAGGTTTTATGTCCAGAAGTCCTAAGTATTTAAATTCCTTTTATACCAGTCGATATCTCTACATCTCTGAGAACAGTAATATGTCGTTTTACAAAATGGACATTAAATCCTGTTCTTTGGAATTGGAACCATCTAACCTATATTTAAGTTATATTAGCAATATCGCGAACTGCAAACGTTCATTTATTTTAATATATATATAATCACAATATATTAAATCATTTTATGCGACGAATATTGTTTTCCTTGTTAGCATTATTTAATACATTATTAGGTGTCTGGTAAAAAAGTATCATTAAATTTTTGATTATTTCATTAAATTGTTTTTATTCATTTATAAAGTCAGGAAGGCAGGTTATTTTTAAATTTTACTACGAAAATTATAAGCTAAAATTTAGATATAAGAAATGTATGATGAAATTTTTACATTTATAAAAAGTCATAACTTATATAAATTTTTTAAACTATGGAAAGAGTTTATTTCTATTATTATTGGAATTTTTTGAGTCTAAATTAATATTATTTATTGGATTTAACTTCTGAAGAACATTTACTCAATATGATTATGGAATTGCTCAGAGAGGAGAATTCCTAGATTTTCCTGGCCATTTGATGAAGCTTTGCAATGAAAATATCAAAAACCAATCTAAGATACAGTTTATCACGATTGTACTTCTCCAGCTGATAAATGTATGGATGTTTAGACAGATAATAAATTGCTCCTTCAAATACAAGTTTTCAAGATCTACTTGAAGACATATCTATACTTTCTTATTTCTCAAGAAGTTTGGACTAAAATTAAGTTGAATCCGAAGTAATTTGATATTATCTGTGAAATTTTTGAGGAAAATAATTGTTTCCATGCTATGGCAAATCACTCATGATTACTAGAAAATATAATAATTCCACCAATTAACGTTTAACTATTTTTGTTTTTTTATTGAATATTTTCTTAATAAGTTGATTTAATTTAAATTATCAAATAGATAGTAATAGAGATTTAAAAATTTAAATATCCTAATGACCTATAAATACAAAATAAGAAAAATGAATTTAAAAAATATAATTTTTATTAATATATGCTAGAGTGCTAAGAACCAGATCATAATTAATAGGAGATAATATTAATTTGTTTAAATATGAATTGCTAACTAAAAAGAACCTGTTGTTTAGATTGTATTGAAAAGCATAATGAGCATAAATACGATTTAAAGACATTCAAATAGATTACATAATGGAAAAAAAATACAACCTAAAACTATGATATATATTAAAAAAAGATAAGTTAGATTGTTGAAATAATGGTTTAGGCTGAAAAATACTTAACAAGTTTGGGTGAGGATCTAGAAAAACCTTTTGAAGAGATCATGAATGATGAGCTTTAAAAATAAGTTCACAATTTATTCAGAATCCAACATTTATAACAACCTTTCAATTAATTAATATCAAATTTAGAAACATTGATGGAACCAATTTCTTAAATATTTTCAATAGTTGAGGCATCTTCATTAGAAAAATCAATAAAGGGATAACCAATTCTGAATGATTCAAATTATAAATTTCAAACTATTGGCTCAGAGTAATAAATATAAGAAGAAAAATAATTAGAATTCAGGTAAAACGAAGGAAAGCAGAAAACAAAATAATTGAAAACATAAATTTATTTAGATTTAATTGAAAAAACAACTAGAATAAGGAGGGATAATGATTTGGATATTCATCAATACCCTAAGTATTATCGGTCATCATTTGAAAATCTTGATGATTACAAAACAATAATTTTGATAGGAACTTAAAATTCATAAAAGTAAAATCTGATCAACTTATTTGTAAATTATTACTATGATGTTGAATTTTCAGATCAATATAGGTTTGAAATTATTGATGATATCGATATAACCAAAATGAAACAAAATGATGAATATGAGTAAACCAAAGTTTATTATATCACTCCACTAAATGGAAAATCAGGACTTAGAATTATATATACACCAGATTATAGTGATGATCTAAATTATGATGATCAAAATAGATTCGACAGAATATACGATATTATATTCAATTCAGCTTCATTGAATCAAAATATTCTAATTGGTTTTGTAATTCCATAATAAGTATAGCTAGGTTCATTTTTTATGTTGGAATCTATCCTAAGTAAATTTTCAAACATCCTAATTAAAAATATTGTCTTTTTATTCCCAGATTGTGCAGATGACTATCCTAAATAGAAATAAATTTTGTAATCTCAAACAGAAACGATAAATGGAATATTTTCCCCTGTTTTCAAAATGATACCAAAAATGAAACACTTTTGGTTTCTCAAATTTAACACTAAAGTTTTATATTTAGAAAACAAAACTTAGGAGAATAAATGTCTCTGGGAAATGGGTAAAAATAGTTTTTAATTACTTTTTCAGAATTATTTAGAAAATAAATTTAATTACAATAAACTATTAGAGATGAAGAATAAGTACAATGAGTTTTTAAATATTCTTGGTTTTACTTAAATTATGTAAAGTTTCAAGTAAAAATTTTTGGAGTTACATAATAGAGATAATTTTGATATATGCTTTGATTAGAAATTAGAGTAATTAAGAAAATAAATTGGAGAATGTATAGATCTTTAATCTAGATAATATTTAATTAAAGAGAAACCTTATTATTGTATTTATAAGATAAAAAATTAATAATAAATTGAGTAAAAATTGGGTGAATATTGGAACTACGTAGTATGGTCAACACCTTTAATCGAGAGCTTCTTGCAACTAATTAAAGACGAAAAATTATATAACAAATGTTTTGAAGAGTTTTAGGATATGTTTAAGAATTTCACAAATTCAATGATGCAGGAATATAATTCATGGCGATAATATTTTAATTTTAATTCAATATTAACTTCTATAAATCCACATCAATAGAGATATTATGACTATTTAAAGAGCAAAGAATAAATTTTAAAATAAGAAGGATGGGAAGAAAGAGTAAAACTTTTAAGTAAAGCAAGTAAATCCTTCTATTATTTTGATGATTATACAAAAATACCAAATATAGAAGAACTAATTAAATAATGGTCTGATTAATATCTTATAAAAAAATTTCAGTATATTCGTAAATACGAATGGCAAGAATATTCCTTACTTAATTATAAAACAGAATTAAAAATTATTGGATCAGATATATTTTAATATGAAACAATTTAAATTTATAGAAGGATATGGAAAGATTGTGATAAGGATTTTGACAATTAGATTTAGAAAATGTTGCAAATTCTATTGAATTGATTAATTCATTAGCATAATTTATATGAATATTATTTTATTATAATTTTTATAATTTAAGATATTACCCTGTTTTTTTAAGAGGATGAACTGTTTTTTAGATCTAGTTTACACCTGGAAAACAAGAGAGCTACATTATTTAATGCACATAGGAAATTCTATAATATTTATTATTAAAGGCATTATACCAACAAGAAAAGGTGAAACTGCAAAGTATATGTTTTGATTTCGTCTAAAATTGTTTATTTTCAGTTTAGTCTTATTTTTATTTGAATGATAAATAGTAATGGAGAAATCTTTCCTTGTCATTTTCCTTTTAGTCACTCTAAACTAGCAATATTAAACTTAGCATTTCTACAAATAACATATCAAAGTGATAGGATTTCTTTCGTACGATGAATTATTTAGTAAACATCATATTAAAACTTTGATTATCTTATATCTAGCAAATATTTAGTGATTATTATGCTTAACAAATAGATTTTAATAAATTAAATCGACCCTGCTAAAGAATAAGTTTAATTTGATATTAATTAAATTTTTAATAAAAATATTTCCCCCAGAATTTTAATTGCACCAGCAAATCCTAATTTCGATTAGATTAACGAAGGTAGTAAAATCTATATTTGATCTATTATTAAAGGTATGCCATTCATATTCTTGGTTAACAATTATATATCCTACTTGATTCAATTTGTATTAAATATTTATGTTTCGCAATCATGTCCTTTCTTATTGATTGTAATTAATAGGATAACATCAATCAATTACAAAGAAATTGTTTAATTATATTCTTTTCAAAACTCCAGATATGCTATTAAAATGTTGATATCAAGCTTCATCTGATTCCGACTCTAAACTTAAATAACTTTTGCTCTTTTTTATATATTAACCTAAAAGGATATCAGTTTTGAGCATTTAGTATTAAGCCAAATATAAGATAAAGAAATTTATTTTTAAATAATTATATTTCAAATTGTTTCTTGAATACTATTATCAGCCAAAATAATGCTAATTTTTTAAGTTATAATAATTATATCCATTCTAAATTATAAATTATCCTTCCTCTTCATAGGAAGATGATTATCCATTTAGATTAATATAAAGAAAAAGAATAGACATTATATTAATTCTAATATAATGATTATTGCTCTTTTTAAACGAAATATTTTAAATCCTTTACCACACCTTTTTGGAAATTACATTGCCAGCGAAGATATTTATCTTCTCCAAAATTTAAATTATTCAGTAGATATTGAGATCTGAATTGCAAATTGATTTTTTTGACTGAACTTGCCAGAAATACTGTGTATTCTTAACTTCGTCAAACTCTTCACATTTCTTTTTTTGTATATAATAAAGATTCGAGTGGACAGGTTATTTTACTTGAGAATATGATTTGAATTTAATCAAATTTCAGTCACACAATATTTAATATATACTGTAAATTATATGTGTTCGTAATAAAATCAATAAGAGAGGAATAAAAAATATAAAAGCTCAAATACTATGACTTTAAATCTCATGAATCCAAATAAATGGGTATTTTTGGGCTAACAGAAATCAAAATGTTTAAAGGATTAATACTTTCAATTTTAGTAATTTCTGAATACCCAATATGATTGTAGTCTCATAGTATTTGAATTTCAATTTTCAGCATTGCACATTAAAAAAACGAATATTATTATTGGTCATAATATCTTAAGTTCGTCTAATTAATTGTTGACTAACTTTTCCAAAAATATTTGGCTTCTAATCCATATTAGTATATTTAGATGAGGAACAATTAGATAAACCTAAGATAGTGTTAAATTCTAGAATTTCTGCTTTATGTAAAAAAATATACCTGCAAAGCTCTGAAAAGATCTGTGTTGAAATTGATTAGCACATATTTGAAATTAACTAAAATTATAGATAAAACATTCTCTAATTCATTTCAACAATACATAAATTCTATTCAATTTAATCCTGCCTCTAAAACATATATATCCATATCCTTTGAGCTTGATCAATGCTTAAAATATCTTCTATAATGCAATTTTTAAATCAATACCAAATTATGGTTTGAATATTTATTGTTGTAACATTTTTGTTGGTAAAACTATTGAGCTTATGACATTCCTTAATGAATTTTTATTTTATTAAATCCAAGTTATTGTCAGTACTATAAAATTTACCGATGAAACAATATCTCCAATAATTAATCTAATGAAAGTATGAGTCTGATATATTTATTCATAATAATAAAAGACTCTCAAAGAAAACTAATAAATAAAAACTTTACTTTGCAAAATTTATTTAATTTTATAATCATATCTTGAACTTTTGGAAAATCTATGTATCTATTTTAGTGTTGATCTCTTATGGGGAGTATTCATAGTACTATTTTTATATCGCGACTGAATTTAACTGTCCACTATATTTGCTTCATTATATAAATTTTTTATCCTTATATTTTCTCTAATTCTAACTTCAAATATGTGAGTTGCTGTAAATTAGCTTAAGACTGAAGTTGATATTCTATCGAATTAATTATTAAAGATTTGCATAATCAACGACAAGTTAGAAATAAGATTCTTAAGTTATAGATCTATTAACACTCTTATTTTTAGAAGGGGCATTACTTTAGTAAAAAAAAATACTTTCGATATTGTTGAAGTTATATTTTGATTTCTTTCAACTTTACATAAATAATACCAAAAAGAAATACTTCCATAATTTTCCTCCAAATTTAGGTTTGATAATTAAAGACTGTATCTAAATGTAAATCATCGAAAATCTTTTATTTCTTTAGCAGAACTTTATTTTGATTAATTGTTCCCCTCTCATGCCTTAAAAATACAATTAACTTTCAATTGTTCTTTAAAAGCCTAGCTTCATGAAATCTGCTAATTCATATATTAAAATATTATTAATAGCCTTGTATGAAATCTTGTTACTAGCTAGGTTATAAAATCCACACAATTAAATTTCATTTAAAGAATCTCCTTTTGGGTTTGTAAATATATTTAATGAGCCTAATCTTTAGAGATTCGAGATTCATCTTAATTTCCAAAAAGTGACGTAAACTTGGTAAATATAGAAATTATTAAATTTGTTATCTAAAAAGAATGAAAAAAGTGTTAACATTTGCAGACTTAAGTACATCTATTTAATCAGGAATGAGCAATCGTTAAACCAACCTGTCTACATCAAACATATAAATAAGGTCTGCAAGTCTTCGAAAAGCCATTTCTAGACTTAAACAAGAAAATAGAATTTCAATTATGGGAATCAGTTCGATATGCAAAACATAAGTATTACTTTGATTTAACGGTCAGATTCCGAAAAACCAATCTTACTTCCAAATCAAGTAGGAATCTAAGCATAATCGAATATCTAATCCCTCTTAGGAACCACACTTGAATATAAATTAATTTGATCACAAATAAGATACCTTAAGAGGTATCAATTAACTCTAACAATATTGCAAGAGTCAAAAAGCTCTTGAAATAGCTATGCAGAAATACTCTTTAAAGAAGTCCTATAAAGTGTCCTCCGATATGTCAACTGTACCTACGTTGGTTGATAAATTAAATAGAGATCTTATAAATAGCAAATCCAAAGTAATTCAGGAAGTAATGAAGGAAGAACTAAGAAAAAGAATTCCTAAAAAGTAGAAGGAAATTAATTATGAACTGGATTCAATGTTCAAAAATTATAAATCATTCGCATAATTATGTCTGAGTGAAAATGCTAGCATTCAAAACAAGAAGGTTTATAATGGATATTTGAAAGTATATAATTCTGGAAAGAATGATAGAATATTCTTAGATAAGATTGAGGAAAGAAAGAAGAGTCTAAGTGACGAATCTGAAGAATATGGAGCATTTCTTGGTGAAACAGATGAAGCTACTATTCAAAGGGACGTATATAATAATAATATTCGAAATCCTTTTCTGGATGATAAAGTTACTGTTATCACAATGAAGAAGGATGGATTTTTGAAAAGAAGAGTGACATAATCTTGATTAAATTGATTAGAATGATCATATTTATAATATTTGATATTATATTTGTATTAATAAACACCCAATAAATCAATCAAGTTTCTTTCTTTGCTCTAATAATTTAGCATTTCTGATTCTTGAAAATACTTTTAATATCTCATCAACCAATACAACTGGAGCAGAAACAGACAATACAAGGATCCTAAGATAATTAAATAATAGTACCAATCTTGAGCAGTCAAAGGAACTGTGTTAAAGATATTTTCAAATAGTGGAACATAACAAATCATGCAATGTAATGTCATAGATCCAAATATGGCCAATATCAAGTATGGGTTTGCAAATACACCAACTTTTAATATTGAACTATCCTATTATAATTAATCTATTAATATACTTCAGATAAGGCATTTAAAGCATTAAACATTTCAATAACAACCAAAACTGATAAACTTAAGGTAGATGCCTTTTATTTTCCCCAGGAGAAATAAAGACATGGATCCTTTGAAAAGTCATACTTATCAAAATTGGCCACTTTGAATCCTTCCCAATAATGGCATTCTCCCCAGTTTCTTAGTTAAGTGAAAGTAACAACTGGGTGACCATCTCCAGCCCATTCATATCCCAAATAATAATAGACAAATACAAAGACTGTAGCCAATCCAACATAAGTTCCAATGACACAATATCTAACAAATACAAATTCAGTGATAATAGGTTCATCATGTTTTCTTGGTGGTTTTTACATCACATCAGGATCAGGTGGATTGAAGGATAAGGCTGTTGCAGGCAATCCATCAGTAACTAAATTGACCCATAATAGTTGAATTGAATTAAATCCATCAGGTATTCCCAATAATGATGATGTGAAAATTGAGACAACTTCTCCAATATTTGAAGAAATCATATATCTAATGAATCCCTTCATGTTTTAGTAAATGGCTCTTCCCTCTTCAACAGCTCTTACAATTGTAGCGAAATTATCATCTGCTAAAATCATATCTGAGGCTTCTTTTGCAACTTCAGTACCAGCAATACCCATTGCAATACCAATACTAGCTTACTTTAAGGCTGGAGCATCATTAACACCATCTCCTGTCATTGCAGCAATTTGATTTAACTGACCAGTCAATAATTTTACTAATTCTCTTTTGTGAGATGGATCAGTTCTTGAAAATACCAATCCACTTGGTTTTCCAATAACTTATGATAACACTTTCTTTTATTTTTCATCTCCCATCTAACTAAATTCAAGTCCAGTAAATGAATGTGTAGCAAATTGAGATTGATTATGTAAGATACCAATTTACATAGCAATTGATTAAGCTGTCTCTTTAATATCTCCAGTAATCATGATAACTGAGATTCCAGCTTCTCTGCATTTTTCAATAGATCTTTTTACTTCTGGTCTTGGTGGATCCTAAAGAGCAACAACACCAATAATTATGGGTTTATCTTCAATATCTTTATATGTATTAGTATCTATTAATAATGGATGTGCAGGATGCTTAGGTCCATCATAGGTGCTCAATTACCCGCATTCTTCTTATACACAAATGGCTAATGTTCTCAATCCCTTTTCTGCTAGATTCTTTACAATATTTAAGAATTATGCTTTGTCTTATGTTGTGAGTTAAACAATTTCTCCATCAGCATTCATAATTTGATTTGACTTTTCAAGTAAATAATCAGGAGCTCCTTTAATGAATAAGATATTTCCTTTTTCGTTCTTTGAGTTAACCAACACAGACATGCTCTTTCTGTCTCTAGTAAACTCTAGAGTAGCTCTTTTGGTAAATTCAGCAGATATTGCTTCGTTATATTATTCTGGGGCAATCAAAATTGGTTTTGAGTTGAAAGTTTTATCATATTTTCCAATTTTTTCAACTAAAACCCTTAAAGCTGCTTCAGTTGGTAATCCACTTCTTTATACTCTTCCTTTATCTTCGTATAATTTGGATTCATTGCATAAAGCCATAGATTATGCTAATCTTTTAAGATTTGCAGCTAATCCATTTCCTTTGACCAAGGTAGATTCTAATTTTTCAATTTTACCTTCAGGATGATAGGAAGTACCTTCAACTGGAAATACTTCAACAGTTGATGCTTCTTTTCCTGTCAATAACACAATTTCTTTAACGCACATTTCATTGGTTGTTAACGTACCAGTTTTGTCTGAGCAAATAATTGTTGTGCATCCCAATGTCTAGACTTTTGGTAATTTTCTAACAATGGCTCTCTATTTAGCCATTCTACGAGCTCCAAGAGCCAAACAAGTAGTGATCACAGCTGGTAATCCCTCTGGAATAGCAGCCACAGCTAATGCAACTGCAACTTTAAAATAATATAATGCTCCCATAACTGTTCCACCATGTGCAGGATCTGAAAAATTACTAATATTCATAAGCCAACAGCCTATGCAAATATAAGTCACAACTTTAGCCAATTTATCACCAAATTCATCCAATCTCTTTGATAATGGATCGTCATCTTCTTATTTCTCTTTTGCTGCATCTTAAACTTCCTTCTAAATCTTTCCAATTTCTGTTTTCATTCCTGTACAACATACTATTCCTATGGCAGTTCCGTTAGATACTAGAGTTCCAGAAAACAAAAAGTTAATTTTATCTTGAACAGCTGCTTTGTCTTTTACAACGGCCTCAGTTGTCTTATTGACAGGATTAACCTCTCCTGTTAGAATAGACTAAACAATAATAATCAAAGAAATACTTAATCTGTTTTCAATGTTATAGTTTTCAACTCTACCATTCTTAAATCAGCAGGAATTCTATCTCCTTATTTTATTTCTACAACATCTCCTATCACTAAGTCTTTGGCTTCAATCTATCCCCATTATTTATCTCTAAGAACCATAGCATGTGGAGATTGTAAGTCTTTCAATGCCTAAAATATTTTATGTTTTATACTTCTATCGCTCTCTCTGCATCTAGATCCTGCCATATTCCTACAGCTGCATTCAAAATCAAAATTGTGAAGATGACACATGGTTCTACCCAAGGAGGTACTGCATGCACTTCTTCATGATCTTCAAATTGAGAAATCACGAATGATATCACTGCAGCAAGAAGCAATATTCTTACTAAATTATCTTCGAATTATTCCTTTATTTTCTCCCAAATACTCTCTTTCTCTTCCTTTTCTAACTCATTTGTTCCATATTTAGCAAGTCTTGCCTAAGCTTCATTCTTAGATAATCCCCTAAAATAAGATCCATATTTTACTCTGTTAGATCTGTTTTTACAGAAGAAACAACTTTCTCTATTGGATAAGAATAGAAGGGCTGTGTTAGATCTATCTCTGCCATCTGAAATAAGTATATAATATAATAAATTATCTATTTTCACCATTTTTCAATTCATCTCTTGAAAGAAATTTCATTGCGCAATTTTTATAAAAAGTATTTCTTCAAATCGAAAATTGCATCATCAATTACTTCATTCTCTTTAATTTTATCAGAATATCATAGTTTGAGTAGAAAAAAAAGGGTTTGCTTATATATGATAGGAAACTCAAAATTTTAGAAAAACTTTATAATGATGTTGAATTTTAATTAAAAATGACTTAATTTATATATATGTATCATGATATGTTGTCATATTTATCGAAGGTTGAATAATTGCAATTTGTAATTAGAAACACATGGTTAATCTTAATTACTATTGATATCTAAATAAAAAAACTTTATTGTAAACATGAATTAGTTTTACAATTATTTTTGTATTTACAAAATTATTTTCATAATTAATTATTGCGAAATATACGTAATAATAATATCGATTTCAATTAATATAAAATGATATCTTAATTTTTGATGTTTGAAGTTTGATTCTCATTTTAGAGCTCAGACGTATAAATCTGTATATCCTTCATACTTGAATCTTTGAAATACTCCATATTTCTATTATAAGTTCCATTAATTTCTTTTTAAGTGATAATTTCTATAAAATAAGATTTGTAGATACTTTCGTGTTCTAATTATATTATAATAAAGATATTGTGAATTAAATAGTTGATAGATATTATCATTTTCGTTTTTTGATAGCTCAAAAATAAAATAATTTTTTAATTTCATTAAAAGAAAAGAAGGAATGATCATATCTTATATAAATAAATGATCTATTCCATTTTCTTTACTTTTGTTGATTATTCATTCACAGTGGCGAGTCAATTGGAGTTTTATTCATTTTAATTTAATACACTTTAGATTAATTGGTTGAACAAAGAAGTTCCTGATATATTTACTGTCATAAAATGTTTATTAATGAAAAATAATATCATTAGTCTAAATTAATGACTCTTGTTAATAAGGGTTTATAGTTTTCTATTTTATGTGAAACAATAATGACTGTTTTCTCTTTACAAATCTACGTTAAAGCTTATATAATATCTGTTTCAGATTGACTGTCTATATTAGATGTTGCTTCATCTAGAATGAGTATTCTTGGATTCTTTAGAATTGCCCTTGCTAATACGATTCTTTATTTCTAACCTCCAGATAAAGAAGTGGTCCCATCTGATTTTAATTTAGTCTAATATTTATTTTACATATTCTCTATAAAATCGTGAGCACTTGACATTTTAGCTGCCCAAATAACTCTTTCCATACTCTGATCATATCCATGATTGCCATAAATGATGTTCTCATATACAGTTGCATTAAATATGATTCCATCTTATTAAACATAAGAGACATGTTGTTGAATCCATTTAAAATCTTTTTTAGATAAGGGTTCTCCATCAATTACGATCTCTCCTGATGATGGAGTTAATAATTTTGTTAATAAATTTAAGGCAGTAGTTTTACCAGATCCACTAGGTCCCTATAATAAAACTATTTCACCTGAATTGATTTATAAATTGAATGTTAGTGTAGAATTCTCATGATTTGGATAAGAATACTGAACATTCTTAAATGAAATACTTGGTGGTGGAATTGTAGAATGTTCATACAATTCTTACCAACCTTTGGTATGTTCAGCATTTTAAGGTGGGTTAAGCAATTAAGCCTTCAAAATATCATCTTGGCTTATGTATTCTCTATAATTCTTAGTTAGATCTGGTTGATTATACAATTCAGATTCATGAAGATTTGGATGAATATCAAGGATAGTATTATAAATAGCAGCAGTCTTAACCAATTCATTATAGATAGCTATCATTACTCTAGTTCCTGAGGCCATATAAACTGCTTAGATAAAGTATTTGGCTAACTCTGGATCTAAATGTCCAGTGGCAACTAAGTAGCAACCTTAGAATAAGATCAAAATCAGGGCATACAAGCCTCCTCCTTCCATCAATCCCATATTTAAAGCTTGCATTTTAGAAAATTAAGTTGCTTATTCATACCATCTAAATAATTATGCTGAATATCTTTGATTTTCTTTCTATTCCATGTCAGACAATTTGATTAATCTATGTGCTTGTAGCATTTCTTATGATACTTCACTTAGAGACCCTAATTCTTAGGTTTCCTTAACCTTAAATTAAGACATATATTTTCCTAATAAAATAGCTGATCCTCCCATTACTGCTGCAGCAGCACTTGCAGATGCCAACAACGGAAATGCATAATATGATAAATAGGCAGCTCCTCCTATTGTTGTTATAAATCCTCTAATCATAATAAAAATATCCTATGATAGTCCAGTAGACACTAAACTAACATCATTTGATAATTTATGAACTAATTATTATGAATGCAACGATTGATTATCTCTAGTACTCATTAATTTCTAAAACATAGCATATCTCATTCTCATTCCTACTCGATTACTGATTTATGTATTTAGAAATCTACGAGCCCCTCCTAAGAACATTCCAAGTAAACATACACCTCCCCATTTTAGATGATAATACATATTAGTCTTTTGACTCTTCTCTTTATTTTCCTGATCATATTTTAATTCTTGTAATTTAGCGATATCAGTTGTTACCTAGGGTAAATACAGAAGCAAAGCACTGTTCAAACCAACCACTGTCATACCTAAGATGCAGTATCTCTTCTCAGGAACCATTAATTTTAGGAGGTTCATGATGTCTTTCCCAAAGAATTTTTTCTAGTTTTTACCTTCTTACATCACAAATAAAATTTATTATATAAATATTTATCAGATTCGAGTTTCTTAGACCACAATTATCATTTTAATTTGAATAATATCATCAAAAATGAAAGTACGATATGCTTAACTAATTATATTCTGATATCTTTGATTAATACTTAATTTAAGCAAAATTGTTTGTGATGTTATTTTCAGAATTAAGTATTTTCTAAAACAATATTAAAATTGAAAACTATTTTGTTAAATTGAAAAAGTAGCCATTCTAAATATATCAAAATTCCATCCTGCTAATATGTGTAATTAAAATAAATAAAGTTGAAAATCTGCTTCATTCATAAGAGAGAAAAATACAATTTTGATCTTGCTAGCAATAGGGTGGTTATTTTAACGCTTTACTGTTAACAAGAAAGTATAGATTAGAGTATAACAACCTGTCCTTTAGATTATCTATTGAGATTGTTAAATAGAATAACTCTTATAATGATATTTATTAACTCCATTATCTAAAATACCAAAAAAAATTACATTAATAGATATAATTTTTTGATTTAAATTTGAGAGTATTCATATTTATTCAGTATTTTTATTTGGTTTTTATTCCATTACTATAAATGGAAAGAAATAAAGCAAAAGAGTGATGTTTTCATTTTATTTATTTTTCAGTATTAAAATGATATTTCAGAATAGGAAATATCTATTCCACATTAAATAGTACTATGAATAATATTGTATTTAATCAATACAAATTCCTCAATTATAAGATCAAAATTAACTATTAAAGAAATTGAATAATATTAGATAAAAAGCACACAGATTTAAACAGATTATTAAATTTGATAAAGAGTGATAAATTATATTATCAAAAGAAATGTCAAACTTATCCCATAGCAGCTAGTCATCGAGAAGCTCTTCTTAAAAGAGAAATAATAAAAGACCACAAAGAGAGAAGAGAAAGAAAAATAATTCAGAAGACTACGATAGTCAGATAGATGATGATGATTTATCATAATACGATGGTAACATATACATGCATTTTAGGGATAAGGATAAAAAATAAATAACAACCAATTTTGGGACCTAATAGATTTCATAAAAGAGAAACCAAACTTAAGAAACCAACATCAAATTAGATCCCGGCTACTGCAACATTTTTATACAAACCTGGCGCTGAATTACCAAATTTGTCAAATTACATTAATTCAATCATTGATATTAAAATAGCCTGTGAATACATAAATAAAAACAATCCTGCCATTACTTTACGACAAATATGGGGTTCTAATGGAGCTTATGCAAGTCATAGTGATGCTGTTTGTATTGGAATACATGCTGGGTTATTGGCTTTAGGTGACTTGAAATTAACTAGTTCATTTTATTAAGGAGTGAGTTTATCTTGTAAAGTGATCAAGGGAAAAAAGTCATTAAATGGATAAATGAAAGTGCCTTTATTATCTAGAACATTGAAGACTCCTTGCGCTCATTGTTTGAAACCAGAAAAAGTTACTTGGTTGCCTTAACTTGGTTCCCCAGAGTAATTGATTAGTTGGGCTAAGAAAATGTCACTGCCTTAAAATAGAAGATTAACAAAAAGGAGTCATTCCAATGTTTATTTGCATGAGCCTCCTCAAATCTCATAACCTGAAAATCTACTAGTGAATAATTTACCTCCCTTGAATGAAGGATGGATTGTTTGGGATATGTGCAATGAGCCAAGTTAAAAATATAATTAGCTTACTTTTATGGATAAAGAAACAGCGTAAGGATTGTCTAGCAGAACTTCTTATAAATTTAAAACACATTGTTTATATATTGAAACTCATACTAAAAAGTAAATTAATTGTTTTAGGTAGATATGAAATTTATATGGATTCTTCAAAAATTGATGAAGAAGTATTTCTAGATTCAAATGTATTTACAATTCAGGAGATATTATATCCTCAGCAATCAGACATTGAGATGCTCTAAAAATTTGGTGTATGTGATCCTAATTATATTAGGTACCACTGCCTAAGGAATAGAAAGGTGTGATTTTTGAGAAGTTAAAATGGGAGAATTTCGAATGGGGTAATGACAATGTGATAATCAATGGAACCTTCTAGATACAAGATTTACAAAACTTTAAGTTTGTTCCCATAAGCAAGCATTAAGTTTACGAAAAATGAAAATAATCAACATTACAATTTAATATATAATGGGTTAATTTTCACTGAGATAATTCAGCATGTATTTATTTAAATTATTCAACTAATTATTTAACTTCACTAATTGACCCATATGGCAACATATCTGTTTTCAATTGATTATTTTCTTCTGTTAGTCGATCTATTGTTGTCTACATCTATTTAATTTGTTATTGCAATAGCTCTTCCTTATTCAGTAATTCTATGATCAGGTGAGTTTTACTTTCATTCTTATTAGTCAATTCTACTAACCTTTCCTAATACTACTTTAAGATGTTCAAAAAGTGTTATTATTATTATTTAATTTAATTCATTTAAATTTATAATCCTACACATATTGTCTAATATTGATGTACTAAATAAGGATAGAAGGATAGAAGTGATTTATATGTCCTCAGGGGTATTAAATTAATAGGGTAATATTCTTAATTCTTTACTAGAAACTCCTAAAAAAGTTAATGAATTTATTAGATTATTGATACTACTATTTGGGAACTAGTAAACTTATTAATAAATAAATAGTATTATCATCATTGAATGCAATTTATGATTATACATTTCTAAAATCATTACTCACTTTAGAAAGTCAACATGAAATTTTATTATAATTATTATGAAAATATAATAGATATTTCTCATTCTAATTCTGGCCATTACTTCTTCCTATGGGAACATGTATTCAGATAGTGAACTTTATGATTGCAAATAGAATGAGTATACCAATGAGGATAGAAAGTCAATACTTAAGTTATTCCCAATTGACATATGGGTTTTCATAATATTATGTATCAAATGAATCTAAGATACCAGCTCCTATTACATTTTTTGGAACCATGAAGATTGTGTACTAATTCTTAAAAGACACAAAGCTATTTGGAGTTCCAGGAGATAGTGTGTTTGTCATTATGATTATGAACGGAATAGAAAGTATAGTGTAATTTTCGACAGCTATATATGTACTGAAGTATAATGAGGCTCCATTAAAGAATGCATTTTGTGAAGTAAGGACAGAAATAAAATAGATAACAGGATTAGCAATTTCAATAGTGTTTGTGATATCTAATCTAAATATATTTGTTTATGCAGCCTATCCGTTGGCCTTAATTTACAATACACTTAAATCAGCAGCTAGATTATTAAGAATCTTCAATTATTCCATAGTTTGCATTATCATTCTTGTAGTTATTTTTGGTCATAACATTGTATCTCTTACTTTAAATGGGTATGATGTCATATAATTGTAGAATTTGTGCAATATCAGCAACTGATAGTGAAACAATGGATTTTGTAATTTCATTAAGTTATTTGGTAATATTTCTTTTGTTTGGCACAATGTCGGTAATATATGTATTAACCTTGAAAAAATTGATTCCAAAATATTCAACAATCAGAAGAGTGAGAGGCCAATACCTCAGACATTATCAAAGGTTCATAGGTTTCAGTTTGATAATGAAATTTCTTCTTGGAATATTTAGTGCTATAAATTTGTTGAATTGCTACAAATTTCAACAGACTTGGTTAGAAGTATCAGCCACACTTTAAAATATAACTCAGGCTCTTTGTATTCTTGGATAGACTATCATGATCTTCAATGATTCATCACTCAAACTAATTTTTAATCATTCTTCAACTACAGATGACAATAATGAAAATGATATGAAAGAAATCTCTTTATAATGTATAAGGATATATGATTTTTATAGAATTCAATGTTCTGGAATAGTTGCATAAAGAGATGAAGAAAACCCAAGTAACTTCAATGTTGGCAGGGGTTCAAATACTTAGAAGAAATAAATTAGAAGACGTTGTTCAATACAAAGATTTGGTTATATAGGAGGAGTAAGATGGCAGTGGCAGTAATTCTAGTCAAGGAGATTTAAGTGAATTAATGGATGCTTTCTCTTAACCATTTACACTGGATGAGATTGAAGAATGTTTAGTCACAAACTTAAACAATCAAATTTTATAGGAGAAATTGAAGATCAATCATGAAATCCAAGTGTTCTCTATGAGATGCATACTTTATGCCCCGAAGATTTTCAACTATTTCATTACTTTGGATAACATTGATGTTGAAGATTGCTTTGATTTAATGAAGAATTCTGCTTGTATTGATCAATTTACAGGACCAGATGGAGGCAAAAGTGGAGAATTCTTCTTTTTCTCTTATAATAATTAATTGATCATCAAAACTATGAGATAGAGTGAAGTAAACACATATAAAAAGAGATTGTATAATTTTGCTACTTATCAATTTAATAATCATTAATCTTTACTCAATAAAATATATGGAATGTATACTTTCGAAAGAGAAGAACAAGTTCATTCTAGAGTGCATTTCTTGATTATGAAAAATATCTCATTAGGAATACCAAGGAACTCAATTCTAAGAACTTATGATATGAAAGGTTCTGAATATGATAGAGAAGTACTTGCTAAGAAACCTTCAAGTGATCTTTCAAAGATAACCCTCAAAGATCTTGATTTCTTTAAAATTGAACAAGAAATTTGGGTTGAAGATTCAATTTCAAAAAGTTAAATTTATCATCATTTTAGAGCTTAATCAATCTCTTCAAGCCGATTCCAATTTCTTAGAAAGACAATAATTAATTGACTATTCTCTTCTTGTTATGATCATAGATTGGAATCAGAAAGAAGAAGAATTATAAAAGTATTTAGATGGATAATAAATAAATGTGATACCATCTATCAAAGAAAAAGGAGTACAATTTATTTTTATTTAGATATATTATCATATTGCCATTATTGACTACTTACAACGATGGAATGTTAATAAATCACTTGAGAGAAAAACCAAAAAAATTATCAAAATGAATATGCAACTTGATACTTCAGCACAAGAACCTAATATTTATGGAAAACGATTTCAAGAGAAATTAATTAACAGAATAGTCCCTCTGAAATGAAATCTTTATGATTCCTTCATTTTATCTAATTTTAATATTTATTATTAAATGTAAGAATCCCAATCTCAATCAGACTTTAAGTTGCCTTTCATTGAATATCACAGTCAACATCGACTGCCCATACGCATGAATCCCAGTTTCAGATTGAAACATACAAATCCTGTTAGAGTACAATATATGAAGTATATGGAAAGACGAAGTGTGGATGAAATTAAGAATGAAACTTATTACTTAGAGAAATTTGCTAAAATTAATAAGTACCCATATCAAGAAAGCAATAAATAGTATCAAATTTCTAATAAAATTATAAGTGAATCACGAAATCGAGATATTCTAGCAAAATAATAAAAAGAAAAGAAACCGTCAATCAAATATCAAAAACCTCCTCTTAAGTACTTTAATTTGGATGACTCTGATAATAACTTACATTAAATGGAATACATATTTCACAACCTCAAACCAAATAAAGTTTTTATTTCATAATGATTTAACATTTTGTTTCTTATAAGTATATATTTTATTTTATATTTAATGTAATTAGAATAAAATATATCTAAATATGACCTACCTTATAATGAAAGAGTAGAAATCTAAATCCGATAATAATCCAGATAAAATATAATTTTGCTTGAGGAATTAACTTCATATTTTTGATAATACATATATCAGTTAATCAAATTATTATAGAGACATTGAGAAAACTATTTATTCAACTTATATGATTGATCTTTTTTGGATAGATACCTATAAATCAATATTTCATAACTTAGATTGGATTTACAGATATTCTGAATGCAACTTTTATTTAGTAAATAATAATAATAACAATAAGATAATCATATACAATTCATTCATATTCTTTTCTAGAGAAGATTATTAAAGTCATTTGGGTAATTATGATATTCATTAAATTAGAGATCATCTTGGAATTATTGATCATATTGATTTTAACTCTTTAGTAATATATTCTTAGATTCTGCTGCAGTAGAATTAATCGTTTTATTTTTGGCAGATTCCAATTTACTCATTTTCTCTTATTTTATAGAATGCTCAATAGAATTCTTTCTTTAAATAATGAAAGATTTTTAATAGATTGAATCAACCAAACTGTATTTAGACAGCCCATCCAGACCCTAAGAATCAAAATTCTCACGAAAAAAATCTTAATCTAAACATTCTTTCAATGTAAATCTTTATTTAGGTTAGATTCTTGTCATTTAAATTAAGAGATTCTTAAGAGATTGTGGAACCTTTACTTTTTCATTGAAAGTAAGACTTCCAGGATTAGAGTTTCTAAAGGGATGAACACCAAAGAAGCTAGATTATAAGTAAGATTACATTTCATAAATGATGATTCCCAAACTGTAAACATCACATTAGGTTGCATACATTTTTTATTTTTCTTTATATTCTTATACTTCAGGTGCTGCATAACCAGGAGTACCACAATTATAAAGTACATGCTCTTAGTATTTTTAATTTGTAGCGAATCCAAAATCAATGATGGCAATGTCTACACTTGTTGGATCCTTATTTTTATACATAATATTTTGGGGTTTCAAATCTCTATGCATAATTGATTAAGAGTGAACATAATTCATAGTTTCTAATAGGTTTTTAACCAGTTGTTATTTCTGAGATAGATTGAGATTTTACAGCTTTTCCTATAATTGACCACCTTCATAATGTGTCATTACTAGCCCTATGTAATCTTATTTATTTATAATTAAAAAAGATACCTTCATTTTCAAACACTTCATATAATTTTGGGATGTTAGAATAATCTAGACTTCGCATAATGAAAATTTCTTCAGCCAGACTCTTGGCTTGTTTATCTCTCATTTTATGTCCAAGTTGTGCTTTTGCTACTTTTTTTATTGCAAATTTTTAATTATCTTAATTGCTTCCTAGGAACACCTTATAAGTTAGATAATTTAACATACTTCACTGGTTATTCCTTCACCTATTTTTTCATTGATTTTGTAAAAATTTGTCAGTGTCTATTCCTATATGCAATTTAACTTCAATTCATTCATAAAGTTGTCAACTTCCTCTGTTCTATTACTAGTAAAGAGTTGTAGTTGGGATTGATCATGAGACAATGTGATTATTAATAAGTTTTCTTTGTTTCGAAAAGAACAATATACATTTTTGAGAATTAGAAAGCCTCCAATCTCACCATTCTTTAATAAATCACTAATAAAATATAAAACACTTACCACCTGAAAATAAAAAAGGTGTTGATGATAGATCTTATATCGTCTTGGAGTCGTTCTCTTAAGTAACTATCCTTGTTTAAATAAAACTATTGTTTATTAATCTTCGGACAATTTATGAAAATCGTAATTTACCAAAGACTTCAAATTTTTGTTCCAAAAAGATTGTCTTTCAGATGATACAAAGTATAAAGAGTTATTCATTAATATTTTATAAAAAAAAAAATCATATTCAATTTTCATTATATCCTGACTAATAAATCAAATTTATACACCCCCAATTACGTAAGAATAACCTACTCCATTAAATAGATTCACACCCTGTTTCAATACTTAATATAATGCAAGTAAAGAGGTCGAATTAAAATAAATATTTATTTATTTTCGCCCAATTATTCATTATTCATTAATTTCTAATCTAATCATAGACATTGAAGTGTTTTCTAAAGACGATAACCTTTCTGGTTATATTGGATTAAATATATTGGAATCTAACAAGTCTGTTAAAAGAGCATTTGTATAAATTTATGACATATAATAAATATTGAAAAATTATAATTATATTTATTTATGATAAAAGAAAAAACAATTAAATATTATATTTAGAATCATGATCATAACTTAATATTAATTTTATTATGTCTATGAATACATAACGTATTTAATAAATGGAAGATCTCTAAGAGTAGGAGACTAGTTTAGGAAGAGTATTTAAAATAGATGGATCATGTATTTAGTATATGTTAATGGTATAGTTGTTGCTATAGAAAATATTAAAGATGCAGAACTATTTGAATTAGTAAAGATTGGATAGGACAAACTTCTTGGAGAAATCATTAAATTGGAAGGCGATAAAGCTTATGTTCAATGTTATGAAGATACTTGTATTAAAAAATGAATTTATTTAAACAGCTAGTTTGTCTGTGGGTGATCCAACAATATTAACTAAGAGTCCACTTTCTGTTGAATTAGGACCAGGTAGGAAATATTATTGATTTAGGTATTTTTACATAAATTTTTGATGGGATTCAAAGACCGTTATAAGAGATTACAGAAGGACTATCCTCATCCTATATACCTAAGAATGTTAATATTCTAGGATTAGATTAAGATAGAGTTTGGGAATTCAAACCATCTTCAACTATTAAAATAGATTCAATAATTTCTGGAGGTGATATTTATGGATCAGTCTTTGAAAATAATGTTTTTGAAGAACATAACATTTTGGCATCGCCTAGTGTTTAAGGAAGAGTAACTTATATTGCACCTGCAGGCTATTATACATTGCAAGATAAAGTGTTAGAAGTAGAATTGAATGAAAAAAAATATCAATATGGAATGAGTCATGTCTGGCCTGTAAGACAACCCAGACCTATTCTTGAGAAATTGGATATTAATACACCAATCATTACAGGAATTAGAGTACTAGATGGCTTCTTTCCAGCATTTTTGGGAGAGACTTGTTGTATTTCAGGACCAGCTGAATGTGGATATCTTGAGATCTCTTTAGCCTTAACTAAATAATCAAATACTTAATGTATGATATACATAGGATGTGCTGAAAGTGGAAATGAAATGGCTTCCGTGCTTAGTGAATATCCAGAATTAAAAATTGAATTGAAAGATAAAGAGGAATCCGTAAATTAGCGTACCTGTTTGGTTGCAAATCCATCTTAAAAATCATTAGGCAAAAGATATGCTTCTCTCTATGCTGGAACAACTTTTGCTGAATACTTTAGAGATATGGGTTATAATGTTGGCTTGATAGCTGACTAGACTTCTAAATGGGTTGAAACCTAAACTGAAATTTCAAATAGGATAGGTGAAATATTGTAAGAATAAGAATATCCTACTTTTTTGGCATCCAAATTATCTCCAATTTATCAAAGAGCTGGGAGAGTCAAATGTAGAGGCTCGCCTAATAGAGAAGGGTCTATTACTCTTTTTGGTGTTGTCTCAACAGAAGTACATTATTCTTATTTATTTTAGGATTTTAAAGATCCTATAACAATTGCCACTCTAATGAACACAAAGGTATTTTGGGGATTGGATTATTAATTGAAAATAAAAAAGCATTTTCCTGCTGTTAATTGGGAAATTTCATATTCTGATTAGAATTCAGATCCTTATTTTAATGAAATTGATCCAGACTTTTTGTAATTAAGAAATAAGCTCAAAAATATCTTAAAAGAATAGTCAATCCTTTCAGAAGTGACTGCAGATGTTAAACCAGAATAGCTTTCAATAGATTAAACACTTACCATGGAAGTAATATATTATATATAATTTTAGATTGCAAAAATCATCAGAGAAGATTTCTTATTCTAAAATTTCTATTGTGATTACGATTATAATTGTCCTCTTTTAAAAACTATAGGTATGATGAGATGCATAGTTTTATTTTATGAATGTGCTAAAAGTTCTCTTTCAGAGGATGGGTCACTTAAATGGGATGAATTATAAAATTAAACCTGGTGCGAATTTACAAATTTATCTAGAATGAAATTCTTGGTATTATCTTAAACATATTTAAGGATCCAAAATCATCAAAATAACAAATAGATGATTATTTTATATAATTTACTGATTAAATTAATTTGGCATTTTAAAATCTGAGCAATAAATGAATTTTTATAAGAATTTTTTATCATATATATAATCATCTTAAAGACACCTTAGCTAATGAGAATAACTGTTATAACAATTACATTAATATACTCCCTGAATTCTAGATTGTAATGATTTTCCTATTATATTGGAATAATAATTAAATATTCTATTGCTCTTTTTAATTAAGTGATATTTCATTATAAAATTCCATATAAAATTTGTATGTCTGTGTTTAGTAATACTTATAAATATATGCGATGTCGCTAAGATACATAATGATTTATAAATTTGTTATAAGTTCTCAAATTCTATTTTTTATGTTTCATAAAGACAATTAAAATCTTGGAAAGGAGAAAATAAATCTTGAAATTAAATTGATATATTTGATTTAACTTTCATTAGTTTCAAAATAAAAATACTTTAAATAATCCTGAATTTTTAATATTCATTATATTTACCAATTCATTTACATTATAATAATGCCAAAACTTTATTTATATATTATTTATTCTTAAATCAATTATTTCATTTAAATATGGATAAAATCGATTATTCACAAGTTCGATTTTCCTTTATTGGAACAAGAAAACATCTTTTTAAAGATAAGAAGTATTATGTTTATGTTTTTGATGATTCCTTATTAATGGGGATTGTAAATATAAAATATATGTTGCTAGATTCCAAACTCATAAAACCCTAAATACAAAATCAGATTAGAAATCAACATTAAATTTAGATGGACATTAAAAAAAACTAAGCAAGGTTGGATTATAGAAAGCTTTTATTTTCCTTATAAAAAAAGTGCAAAACCATTATTTGGGAGTAATGATGATCTGTAAAGGTACTATATAATCTATATCATCGTTTAGATTAAAAGAATTTACAAATCTTAAAGTAACCTTTGAAAATATGAATTCGATTTACTAATAATTTTAATTAATAGGGCAAGGGAGCACTGGAAAAGTATTCAGTGCAGTACATACAATAGAATAAAAGATTTATGCAATAAAATCAATTCCAAAAAAATAGCTGAAATCACAGTTAGACTAAAATTAAGTAAGAGTTACATATTCTATAATTCAAGGCAGCTTTTAAGATGGAGGTATCTATTTTAAAATTATTGGCCAAATATCCTGATAATTTTATAACCTTAAAAGAAATCTATGAAGGAGAAGATATGCAATGTTTAGTCACAGCCTTTTTAGAAGGCCCTAATCTTATTGAAGAATTTGAAAGATTGAAAGTATCAAAAATATCGACATACATATTAGACAACAAATTAAAATAGATTTTCAAGCATAGAAGTAAAGATCATTTTGAAGAAATTATTAATCAATCTTGCAACTCTTCATTCACATAAAGTATTAGTTTCATTTTCAATATTAGATAATACATAGAGACTTAAAACCAGAAAATCTGATGTTTAAAGTAGAAGGAGATAATTCCTCTTTGATTCTAGTAGACTTTGGGTTGGCAACATATGAATCTTTTGAAATGTATGTTTGATGCTATCCTAAAGGTTGTTTTACCCAAAGTGTGGAACACCTGGTTATGTGGCACCAGAGATATTTAATGTAAAGACTGCTAACTAATATTCAACTAAAGTGGATATATTTAGTTGTGGATGTATCTTTTATAAACTTTTGACTGGAAAGAATGTTTTCAAAGGGGAAACCTTTGATGAAGTACTTAAAAACAACAGAAAAGGATAAATTGATTTCAATCTTCGTATAGACTAAGATTATATCACTGAATATTCACTTGTATTTTCTGGTATTATTTAGAATCTTTTACAAAAAATGTTATTGAAGAATCCAATAAATAGAATAAGTGCTTTTGATGCCTTAAATCATCCTTATTTTAGAGATGTCGATAATAATATTCATCCATCATTAAGATCACTATAATTTAATGAAGAAATGTGTGAAGATGAAGAAGTTAATAATGAAAAAAGTGAGGAAGAAGATAAAAATAATATTTAAATGCCTAAAATTAATAGAAAATGCTAATTGATATGGAATTTAACATTCTTTCAATAAAATTCCTAGAAAACAGTTTTTGATTCTCGTTAATTGATTGAATACGATCCTCTTTCTGGATCGAAATATGCTAAGATAACTTCATGTCCTTTGGTCTCCGAAGTATTAGAATGATGAAAATTATAAATTCTATTTTATATAATAATTGTTATTATATTTTTTTATTTAATTTATCGATGCAAAATTACGAACTATTAGAGAAGTTGTATGAATCAAAAACGACTGTAATTCATAAGGTTAGAGATGTCAAAGATAATAATATTTATGCAATGAAAGAATTCATGGGTTTCCGTAATTAAGGTACTTAAGTCGTTTTCCTTAGGTTTAAATGAAATCTAATTAATCAAACAATGTTAAATTCCTTTTGTTATTAAAATAAAGGAAGCTTTTCTTTTAGATGAAAATGTAATTGTAATTATGGAATATGCAGATCAAGGAAATCTGAAACAATTCATCGGACATCATTAAGGTGTTAATATTCAAGAGAGAGTAATTTGTAAAATTCTGATTCAACTGACCTTTGTTTTAATATACCTAAGAGAAAATCAAATATGTTACAAGGGATTAAATCCTGAAAATATTTTGATACATTAAGACTAAGTTAGACTTGCTGATTTTGGAATAGACAATTTGATTTAGCTTTAAAAACCAAGTTATAGGCCTCCAGAATTATTGTTTCACAATAAGTATTCATACAAATCGGTGATGTATTAATTCGGACTGATCTTATATGAGTTGACTACACAGAGACCCCTTTTTAAATTTGAACTAATTGAATAAATAAAGGCTGTCATTCATAATGGAGGAGCGTAATTGTAATTATCATATAAGAATTGTAAAATTGCCGTAGTTTTATTCAAAATAACTTCGATTTATTATTAAAAACTGCCTTGAACTCCAAGAATCAGAGCGACTCGATATCCGTCAATTAGTTCATAATGAAAATTATAAATTTCTACTCAGCCAAAAGTACATGACATTTACATTTGAATAATAAAGTATCTTTGACACATGGTGCAATATTTAATCATCAAATGAATAACTAATTAGTATTGGTATTCCAAAAAATGAGACTGAAAATAAAGAACGGTAATCCAATTACACTGCCCACACTTAAGAGATCAAATAAATCCATTAATCAATAATTATAGAAACAAAGGTTTAAAATACGAAAGCAATATACAAATCAAATCTTCAAAGATAATAAGATGAAATAATGAGTCTAAGACCTTTGTCCTCTTAAACAAATATGACTCAATCAAATCCCGCGTTAAAAACTAATAACCTTTTTGGTAAGTACAATTTAGCTGTTTATAGGAATAGGAAAGTAAAATCTCCTATTCATAAAGCATACTAAAGTGATTAATTTTTTAAAGCGAATAATTTAGATGCGGAACTTAAACCAGAAGATATGTTGAAAAATCTTATTAAAATGAAAATGGAATAGTGCATTGAAACTATTGGAAAAGAAGAAACTGTCCAAACATTGGAATTTCTAAGATAAGGAGGATCTATAAAAGAGTTTCTTTCTAAATATCAAGATTCAAAACATCTTTGCATAGCAAAACATATGTAAGACATTATTTCGTTTTCTTAAATATGAATAATTGTGATTTTTTTGCATTATTATTTATCTAATTGTGTAATTTACTACTAACATTATTGATGTAAAGTATTATATTGTATTAATTTTTAAAATTATAATGTTATAATATCAAATGGCAGACCTACAAGTTGGACAGGATTAATTTACTAATACCCACTCCAATAAACACTGCTTATGAAACATATGCAATTGATGACATTTCAACTTGTAGTACTCCTCTTGGATTTCGAAATTGTGAAGACAAATGTTACATTAGATTTAAGATAGTTGAGAAAGTTCAATCTCTTCTACTATTTAAATTTCATATTTGTTTAATGGTGAAAATTATTCATACTCTAATTCTTGAAGATTAGCTATTTACATGTAGATCTGATTGTATAATCTTTTCGAAATAATTGTAACGATGGCCAATATTATTCCAAAGAATATAACCAAGATTCTAGCTATGCTCATAAATTGCAAAGACAAACCAATTATTAAAGCTGTCATATATAATTTTAATACGTTATTCTTAAATCGAACTTTTGTATTTTGTTTACCCCACAATAATCAATACTAATATACAAAGTTATAAGAAAATAGTTAGAATCTTTAAATAAAAGCAAAAGCAATGAGACTTTTGCAATATCTACTTAATCTCATAATCAGGCCTTTATTCTATATCATATTAAAACCATAGCAATCCTTCTAAATATTCAATTTCATTTTAATGAAATAGTTTTAAATAATATAAAGAGGGTATTAAAGAAATTCCATTAATTGATAATTAGATTATGCTAATGTAGAATAATTATTGGCTTCTCTAGATTAAACAAAGAGAGATTATACATAGAATGACTTCTACTATTTAATATATAGCTAGCACTATTATTAAGACATAAATAAATCGAAGTTGATTTTGCTATTCAGTATATTGCACATAGCTTCTCAAACTTTGCTCTAAAGCCTCTTAAAATTATATTTATCTAGCTTAATGTATATTTTCTTATTATTGATCCGACACCAATTCCTAGTGATGATTCTCATTATTTGTTAAATTTGTTGACATTTATATTATTGTTAATTAATAATTGCGAAAATCATATACACACAGGCTAAATACCAAAATAAAGAAACTGTTTGAATATGCTAGTATTCAAATGTCACGTTTATGTAAAACTGAAATGTTTCTTTGTTATATTAGCTCTTATTTTGATTAAGAACAATTTATACCTTAAAAATGATAAAAGATCTATCTATAAAGTCTAATTTACTTTTAATTAATATAATAATCAGATTGCTTTTAGATTGTAATATCTCTTGATTTAAAAAAACACAAGAATCAAAAACCTTGGGGTTATCGATGTTGTTTTCAATTAAGGTAGTATACTTTTATTCGCTGAAGTATAATTATGTCCTCAAAATAAATTCATTTTAGATATTTAATATATAAATATATAATTTATATTCTCATATTCTGAATAAAATAAATGTAAATTTAGTAATAATACATTTAGATTATAATTATTTTGATTCTTAATACATTAATGCAATAATAGTAAAGAACACAATAATAATTTTTAAATTTTAATATTCCAATCTATATAAAATTAGAATAAAATGTTTTACGATTTTTGTATGAAACTATCAGGTGTGTGTATAAATTAGGATGTCTGGTTCAATCCTAACTTATAAAATTAATTAAAGCATAAACTGGAAAATTTAAACATGTATTTCATTCCAAGATCGTAGTGTAAAAATTACAACAAATTCTCTCAAAATTCTAATAATTCAAAAGCCCTTTGATTTTTTCATCCCTCTATAAAGTTCTACTATAAGGACATCATTGTTTAATGGAGTTGGCATAAAATCAAATTTCATTATGTTTTCTAAAGATATAATTCAACGAGTATTAAATTTTTGGATTTTATTCTTTTTTTATTTTAGTAAATCGAATTTATTGATAAACAAATATTAGAGCAGAGTTGTTATAAATTTGAGTGAAAATACACACTTTTAATTTGAGTAAAAATATTTAATAAAATTTAATCAACTAGTTAAATCCTCCTGTTTTATTTATCAATTTATTGTGTGCAAATATTATGTTCTTTTCACACAAATTTTGAATAAGAAGCTTTGTGATCTATAGTTTTGATATAAAAATTCTGCAACTAAAATACTTAACTTAATAAATATAGAAATTGCAAAGAAATTATATCAAAAGAATTAAAGAGCTCTAGATGGATTTATGTAATTCTGACAAAATCTCTTGTGATGTAGTTATATAATATTTTAACTCTTCACAAAAGTATTTTGATTATTAGAAGTAGGCCAAGTTTTCTAATATAAACTATAGCGAATTAATTGTTTTCATCATGGAGCAATCTACCTTTTTCTTTGTCTTTTGGAAAATCGATAATATTGTGTAATTACTGTTTACTGAAGTGAGTGAGTGATTTAGCACAAACAGCTTAACACCAAGCATTAATTCTTTCTTTTTGTATTAGTAAATAAATTAATTATCTTACTTCACATTATGCCAATATAAATTGAATTCTACAAATTTTTAACACAATTCCAACTCTAATTTGAGGAAAAAAAATAATGTTCTTTAGTTGCATTTAATACTTCCTCCAAAGAGAATAAAATAAAGATTTCTTGACTCTTATAGCAGCAATAATTGCAAAGGAGGCAATTTTGAAGTACTTCTTCATATTTAGTGGCCTTCATTTTAAGAGCAAAACTTTAGCTTATCCTATGAGTTATTCATACTCAGTTGTATGCTTTGAAATTATTTCCTTAGGTTGATTTGCCTTTTCATCAGAATTTATTCTTGAGACTTTAACCTCTTTATGAACTTCTTAATATTTTATAACATTGGCTGCTACGTAATTGGATTTTTGGGGGATTCCCTCTATTTATGTGGTGATTAGTCCTTAGCGGTTTCTTATTTTTGAATCTTTTCTAAATAGAGATCAAGAATATCAATATTAGGAGCAAAGAAGGGTTGCTCATAAATTGTTTCAGTTAATATGAACCTAATGCTTAAAGATCGACCAAATAGTTGTTCTTGAATAATTAAAATATGAAAAATTGATTTTGACGACGCAACAAATAAAATGATACTATTTCATTTAATAATGGCAATCTATATTTATTTATTTGTTTGAGTTCCTTCTATTCTAAATATAGATAATTAGTTTAATCTAATTCTTAGTGATAAGAAAATACAGTTTTATCAATAAATTCAAGGTTTTACATCATCTAATAAACTCTTAATATTAAAAGATTACAAGCTAAGAGAGATCGTTCAATTGTAAATATTATGAGGTCTGTTCTTGGATTTATAGAAAATACAAAAAATACAAAAAACCATCTTTCAACTGATAATCTAGAAATCCATTTTTAATAGTAAGTAATTAAAAAATGATTATTAAAAAACCTATATTTTAAATGTGAGGAAAGCTTATGGAGAAATGTAGAATTGAAGAATATAATTTTATGTTTCATATAACCAATAAAGAGAATAATAACGATTAAAATGATGACTATCATATCTTCAAAAATTATAATTTATCTTTTTCTCTATTATTAACTCTGTAATGATACTAGAAAGGTTATTACATTCAAACCTTCTTAAAAATGATGTTCATATTTATTCAATATTATCACTTGTCGCGCCTGGTTATTGTTTCTAATTGATTAAAATTTCTGAATTGGATATCTAATTGATTTCCTATTTTTTTTCCAAACTTTTCTAAATTAATTTTCAATTAAAATATATATATAAACTAATTTTAATAATTATAATTTTTACTAGTGGCGTTTTTGAAATATAATTAATATTTTTGTAGTTTTCTTCTATAAGACTGTATGCTTAATTAGTTTACATGGTTTATTCACACTTAATGATGAATTGTAAAACAAGTTCTCTTAAATTGGCAGAACAAAGAGGCATTCATTGTTGTAACTAACCAAATGTTGAATGATAATATATAATTTATTTCTTTAATTACAATAATTTTAAAAGACATAAAAAATCAAAGATCAAATTATGCATTTTCAATATCTATTTATGTTTCTATGTTTTTGATTATTTTTGAAAAGAGTTAATTCATTTAAAATTTGTATTTAGGTTTTTCGTTAAATATACTATAAACAAATTATTTTTTAAAATTTCCTGATATCATCAATTCCTCATCACTTTCTAATATTGAGGAAGTAATTAGTTAAGTTTTTAATGGGATTTCTTAGTCTTCTAGAACAGTTAGTATTAGCTAAATAGGTTTAACATTTGGGTTTTAAATTTTTGGTAAATTTTTGAAATGATTTGTGAAAAAGTCAGTTAATAATATGGGAAGAGCAATAAAACTAAACGAAAAATTCATTTAGCGATTTGATTAAGTAAAAACCTATTTATTTGCAATCTCTAAAATAATAGGTAATATTATTGTAAAAATTAGATATTCTGAAGCAATTAATCCTTGTTATTCTGAATTAAGAGAAACAACTGTTTTAGAGTAAAATTAAGTTCTATTTGATACAAATTAGCTAGTTTAAGTTTGTTTTCCACGAAAAAGACTTAAGTTTAAAGAATGATTAATAAAAGGTGGAAGTACATTTTTTCTTGTTATCAATTCTAAATCCTATAGAAGTAATTTTATGAAATAACATAACTATTACTACTAAAAATCAAGAATCATTTCTTCTTTTTACTTTAAGATTTCAATAAGACCTTTATTATAATTTTCACTTGTCAATAAACTAGTAATTTTAGAAAATAGGTTTTCCGTAAAATTTTAAAATTATTGTTTAATCTGTCTCTATCCAAAAAATTATAGAAATTTTAAATGAGGCATCTTTAACTTCCTAAAATGTTGCATTTCTTAATTTCTTTTAAAAAGAACAAGCCTATTTTTTAAATTTAAATTTACCTATATTTTTTGCTTAACTTGCAAATAGCAATTACTAATAGGGCAATGATCTTAAGTCTCAACCTTTTAACTTATATTCTTTGTATATTTAATTTATTAATAATTTCTTGTTTATTGTAAATTTAATTTGAGATACTTTAATTTTTTTCATTTCTTACTATTAAAGTATTATTAAAAAGTTTGATTCTGGGAATTATGATGTGATCACTTTTTTTAACAACAAACTATGATTTAACTCTTCTGTTCTCATATTCGCGATTTTCCTTAATTTAAAGGTCTTATTAATAACTTTAATCAAAAGGTAGATAGGACATTCTGTCTTTAAGGACATTCTTGATTTTTGATGTTGATCCTTCTAATGATATTCTTTGTGCTTAGTTTTATTATGACAATCGACGTTTTGTTGACATATCTTTATCTCTCCATATTTCTTTATTTTCCATTTAGTCATTAACACACAAAGAGGTTTAGATTTTCAATCTTTGAGTGTGGTGGTGCTTTCCCAACATCCTATAACTTTAGTTTACATCTGTAAACAATTTGAAATTAGCTCTTTAGCTTTTATCAACTTATTATTTTTGAGAAAGTAAGGGAATGTTAAGTTTATCACAAATAAAGTTACTCTTAGCTCCTACCCCCAAGAGTAACTCCTTCGAAAGTGGAAAATTCACTATGTTAAATGAAATGGTTTCCTATTTCTGACTTATCATTTATTTAAATGTATAATTAAAATGTCATATTTTTAGATATTTGAATAGGACTAATTCAACCAAACGATTCATTTCCTTAAAAGCAGCAGTTTGCTATTTTAAGTGAACAAATTATAATATGTAGAAATGATAATAACCAAAACAGTGGGCTGTTGGATTAAATTTCATAAATTCTAAAAAAATACAAGGTTAATAAAATCTAAAAAATTAATATCTACATAAAGAAAATATATTATTTCAATTATCCGTTAAAGTAAAAAATTTATATGGAAATATATAATTTTAAACAATTTTACATTTTATTCTCAATTATCACACTATAAAAAAGTAAAACATATTAAAATAGAATTATTATTTTAAGATATTACTCGGAAATTAATTTCAATTATATTTGTAAATAGCTTTTAAATTCTTTGACAAATTTCATTTTTCTTTATCCATAAGCAATCTTCTTTTAGTCTCCATTCCATATCTTGATTATTCATATTCTTTCCTAGTATATTTAGGCCTTTTTATAAGTTAGCTTTCCAATATTGAATTTATAAATTTTGAATGATTTTATTTA